CATGGACCTGAGAGCATGAGGGTGTTTTGGTTTTCATGTGGAAGAAGATGTGTCAGTGTAGGGGTGTGCTCATAGTCTAGTTTTAAGAACGAAAAGGACGAGCACTGCAGACTGGCAGTGCTTCTTTGCTGTTTCTTCCTTCCTTCTCTCCCACCTCCTGCTCAAGTATCCACTTTCATTTTGTCTCGCTGTCGTGGTCGTTGCCTTCGGTGTTACATTTTATTTGCTGAACTTTCGCTTCCTTTTATAATTGCTTTCCATTGTGCTTTATTTATTTTGTATCGGCTGTGCAAATTGAATTGTCCGCTCTTGCTGTACATGTGACTTGCCAGCCCCATCCTTTTCTTTGCAATTTGCCAAAACCCTGTACTGCTATGCACTTGCTTCAGAGAAGCCGAAGCCGCATCTGTAATTTTACAGGGGTGCCGGCAAGTCGTGGATTGCACTTTTGATTCTTGTGACAACTCTACAAGCTTTAGAGGGTAGGTATGCCCTTGAAATCGCGGTATCCTTCCGTTGTTATTTGGATTGGTTTCTTTGTCAAACTTCGTTTGGTCTGTTTGTTGAGGCTGGCCGCGGAGCTTGCAAATTTGGTGGAGCCAGAGCCACAAACGGAGTATCGTTTGGCCATTGACACAGAGGCAGATTTGTGCTGAGTTCACTGGGATTCTTCCCAATTTAATTTGTTCCTTCACATGTTTTCTTCATTTTTCTTGTAGTTTGTTCATTGAAGGCGTTGAGGCCAGAGGATTGCCTGAAAGATTTTATTTGCAACGGTGCAGAGCTCACAGCCTTGGTCGTTGAATCTGCAGCGGGGGAATTCTTTTGCCAAGTGCCGACCTCATTCGACAAACATTGACAAACAAAGTGCAAAGACATTGAGCTTCCTCTTAGTGCAAAGACATTTTTTGATGTACTAAGTACATATGTTTCAAATGCACATACTGTAGCAGTTACCACACAATTGTTTTGATGCTCATGATGTTTGTGATACACAGTAGCATCATTTGCATTCACTAATTCACGTAAGCGTCTCTTTGCAGATCAAATTTGTCTGAAGTAAGTCAACCCATTATTCCAATATCTGTTTGTCTCAAGAGCCTTCCCAGTGCTGGCAAGTTTGTCTTTCTGTGCCAGCATTGTTGTCGAGCCGCTTCATCGTCATACTTCGCAGCATTTCTCTCTTGACTGCAATGCAGGAATTCCAGTTCCTACGTGTATTGTTGGATGGGCTAAGGCTATGGTTCGGTTCAAAGCCAATCTTTATTTATAGCTATTAGGTTGGAGGAGGCCATCGCTATTAGGTTGGAGGAGGCCATCGCTATGAGGTTGGAGGAGGCCATCGCTATTAGGTTGGAGGAGGCCATCGCTATCGGGTTTGAGGAGGCTATCGCTATTTGGTTGGAGGAGGCTATCGCTATTAGGTTGGAGGAGGCCATTGCTACTGGGTTGGAGGAGGCTATTAGGTTGAAGGAGGCCATCGCTATTAGGTTGGAGGAGGCCATCGCTATTAGGTTGGAGGAGGAGGCCCGCTACTAGGTTGGAGGAGGCCATTGCTATTAGGTTGGAGGAGGCCATCGCTATTAGGTTGGAGGCCATCGCTACTAGTAACAAGAAAGCTTTTTAGTATGTCTTCGAAGCTAGTAGCTAGAAGCTACTAGTTTTTGCTTTGGGTCGTTGGAGCCTTTCCATCAGGTGCAACAAGGGCGTGGGGTCACACTTGGCCATGTGCTGAGAGCTCTTGGGACAAATCATAGCAACGATGCCGCATTGTGTTTAAGGCTTGTCTCCAGATCGTCGAGCCCGTTGTGACGTTGAACATAACGCTGGGAGCTGAAGTTCTTGGAGAGAACCCTCAAGGACTGGCAGGATACAGCCTCTCCCGACTCTGAGGTTGGCGGGATGGTTTTCTACCATCATTTCAGCGGTGAATGGCAGGTCATCTCCCTTTTTGCACTTCGTTTTGTTCAAGTTGCACTTGAAGTTTCATCGATTTGGTCACAGGAGAAGTGGTGTGGCGATGAAAGACACGTGTGTGTGACACTGGACAGATTCGGTCACGTGTTTGTCATGCTTGTCAAGCTCATTCTGTCAAGACAGGCAAACATTGATTTCATGTGTTCTTGGGGAGGACCAAGTTGTTGGTGCCATGCACGAGTTTGTGATAAGGCAGAGACAGGTTCGCACTGGATTTGGTTGAAATCAATAGTCAAAGCAGGCAGAAGCTGGAAATGGAACGCCACGAAGATGGAGCTTGATGCTTAACGTTCTTGAACACTAAGCAACAATCATTGACGTTTGGATTTGTAGCTTTCAGGACTTGAAGATAGTCCAACTGGCGAGTGTTTGAAGATCGCCGGCAGCCGCCAGCTTTCTTTTGGCAGTACTTTGTGACCACAAAATGTAGTAGCTTCTTGTTACTAGTAGTAAGGCTAGGAGCTACTAGTAGCTTTTTGCTCCTAGTAGCGATGCCCTTTGTTCCTGGTAGCCACTACCTGTCAGGTGGCTGTCACAGGTGAAATCCGTGGAGGTGGCAAAGTCGACGACCACATGCTCGTGGCGTTCCTTGTCGTGGAGTGCCCTCCACCGAATAGCTTCCTTGCTACTTTACTCGTAGCTTCTTGTTCCTAGTAGCTATTTGCTACTAGTAGTAATGCCCTTTGTTACTAGTAGCGATGCCCTTGTTCTAGATAGTAGCTTCCTAGTAGCTCGTGGCATTCCTTGGCTTTCTTGTCTTGTTGTCGAGCATGTGCGATCCCTTTGCCACCCTATTCTCCAACCTTGAAAACTGTTCTCCTTGCAGGAGCTCCTTTGCTTGCCTGATTTGCGATGAATACCATGGATAGGGCTACAGATAAAGCTTGTTTGACACTTTCGCAGAATTCAGGGACGGCTGGAAGAAAGACTTCAGCTGCAGAATTGAATAAACGGCAATTTTTGTTTTGTACTCTCTGTTGTTGGCTTTGCCAAAGTGTTCCAACAAAGCTCCCCTCGATGGCTATTGACAAGCTGTAATCCTCTAGTTTTCATGTGGAGCCTGCTAAATCCTTTCGGAATTAGTAGTACAGCTGGTACAACTGTTGATTGATTCATGATGTATGTATAGTGCTTACTTATAGTAGTAAAATACCACCAGTTATACAACCACCTTGGGTCTCCTCGGAATGTTGGACTTGACCCTTCGCTAGCCCCATGACCCTATCGCGGATGTCTTCCGTTATTGACGTTATCGTGTCGCTACCTTCCAATTTCGAAGTCACATTGTGTACTTCACCGGACGAATGAGCACGAAAACTGCAGAGGTCAAGTGGAGACGTTTTTGGACGTTTCTGAGCAAATGGAATGTGACCAGCAGGGCAATGATCCTTGTTAGCCACTGTCAGGCGCTGAAAAAGCGCATTGTGCAATCGGTGGAACAAATGAGCTTTGATGCTCAAACTTTGGTGGCCTGACTCACAGTTCCGCCAACCTTTCGTTTCCAACCAAGGACAACCCGTCCTGCCTGTGTGGCAAACTGTTTCCGCAAACTTGAAGCACTCAGAGTATACCATCATGCAGCATGCTGCATTCACATTACGCACCATTGGACGACAGCCAAACAAAGGTGAGAAGAGTAGCCACAGAAGCATCAGCACTGCGACTTGCAATCTGCTCGAATCCGCAATCGCAACCTGTGGGAAAGCGCCGAAGATGACCAAGGACAACATGCCCCGTTTGCTGCAGTCTCTTCGAACAGTCTCTTCGACAGTCTCAAATACTTCAGACAGTCTCTTCGAACAGCTCAGTCAATTCAATATCCAAGAGCAGACTTGTCTTGAGTCTTGACAATCTTTTCAAAACAACCAAGTCATACCTCCTGTAAGAAACAGAGATACTATGTTGGTATCGATCAGGAGGGGTCCCTGGTCAGGACATCAGTCTGAAGGCTGCCTGTGCGGACTCCTTCTACTATCCGCAGGCTCTCGGGGCCGCAGTATTTTTGGCGTGCAGAAGGGGTGAAGTTGAAAAACAGTTCGCAATTTACTGTAAGAGTTGATTTTTCCATACTCGAACTCAGTCCATTCTCCTGAAGCCCACTTCCTCTGGCATCAGGAATGGGCGCCTTCCAAAGGATCGCTGGACTCTTTCCAACGAAGGCTTTGCCGGCTTGTTTTTTGGGCTGTGTGAGTTGAGCGGCGGTTTTGTTGCTTGTGCAGGAGGGGCTTCGAGCACCACTTTGGCAAGCAGCGCACCAAAAACCTGAGCAAAGGAGCTTCAAACTGAGCTTGGGGCACCACACCTTTTAGGTCGCAAGTTCGATATTATGTTATAGTTCTTTTTGCTTTCATTGCTGTTGATTTTGTTGGCTGCTCATCTATAAGGTGCTGCTGATCCGCTTCGAGATGCCTTTCACTGTGCAGTGCCTGCGGCAGCAGCCTTGGCTTGGAACAAACTTCGAAGCAGGTATTTCTATTATTTGCCATCTATTCTTTTCCAGCTTGTTCGAACTTTGTCGAAAGGGACCAAGGAGGCTGCATTCGCACACAAGAGCGCCAATGAATTCAGGGGAGGGTGATACAGTGATACAGCTGCTGGCAAAACGACAGGAGGGCATATTTAGGTGTCTCCTTGTTGAAGTGAGTTTGACAGCTGCCCTGGAGAAACTTGAGGTGTCAGCACTACATCCGTCAAGGCACGCGTTACAACGAATCCCGGCTGATTACATGCAGTCAACGAACTGGCAGAGGAAATCGAAAGGTTCAAGACACATGAGTTACAGTATGCAAGCTTCGAGTTCAGTTAACATTGCAGCGTATGGCGATGGCTTGAAGCTTCAGGACTAAACTCAAAAGACAAGGTTTCAGCAAGCTTTCCTTTGCCGACCCGTGTTGGGATTCATTCCTTTTGAGCCAGACGTGTGCACACTCACGCAGATTCAGATGAATGCAATGTCCACTGTTGGAGTTTGTTGGACTCGATCACTAACATTCAGATCCTAGGCAGACAAGAAGAAGGTTGGCATGTACTTTTCCACACCGCTCTACGAGTTTGCGATGAACTGCGGTGTTTTGGTTTGATTCAACCCAAGACTCAGTTGCTTTCAAGCTTGGCCTTCTGCCTTTTGCCCGACCATTCCCTTTTCCACTCAGGCAACATTGTGCATCCAGCAAGATCTGCAAATGGCCGAGAGCTCAAACTTGCCTTTTTGTGTCCAATATGCTTAAGCTGAAGCTTGATTGCAGATGTAGTTCCACTGACATGTAATGTTCCATTGCAAGCTGATGAAGCGGAAGGTACAGCACATTGCAACCAACGATTTGTTATCCGGACGGATCCAAAGAACGTGCAGCTTGTCACGCTTGGGGCCTATCCAGCACCTTTGGATTTTACTTGGTTGCCAGGATGACTATGAGCTGGCAGAAGGTCTTCGCAGAAAAGTGGAAGTCTGGGATAGTCAAGTGAGGTGCATAGACTTTTGTGTGCACTCTGTCTTGCTGATGTGACCTGTGTCACTTGCCAATCAGCTTTCAGATGCAACATGGTTTCCAAAGACACAGGGCGGCGGCCAGAGACTCTTGCAGCACGGCCACTTGGTCTCTCTGAGGACTCGGAGACTCTTGAGCTTGTCGATCCTGAGACTCGGAGACGGATGGATACAGATCCAATGTTTCGAGTTGAGAAAACTTTGCGTCAGGAACCTAGTGTGATAGCTTTAATGTGATAGCCAGAGCTACTGGGGGGTCACCAACTTCTTTTGCACAAGGCGACCGGCAGAAAGAGAAAAGCAACAAGGAAAGGCTTGCAGATTTGCAGGAGCTGTATGGAAGAAGTGTTGAGCCACATATGCACAAGTCAATTGTCACACGGCCCATGCGAGGATTTGCAAGCAGACCGTGAGGATGCGTATGGTTGGCCCCTTTGCCTGAACTACAGAAAGCTACTTGTATCTAACACAAAGAAGAAAACCAAGACTATGAAACTACACAGAACCAAAGAAAGCATCGTGTGAAGGAGCTCCCATATGAAGGGGAAACTGACTGAGTGACTGGATGGCCTCTCCTTCTCTCTTTGTGGGGAGCGTCTAATCTAGTCTCTTTGCATCATCTTCTCTCCTCAAGCTTGTGCGAGACTCGGTAACAATGAACCCGTGATGCACTCCAGACTGGAGACCTGTGGGTTGCTTTGGTACGAGCATCACCGAAAGGATTGTTATAACAAATGACAAATACATGAACACATGTTATATCATCTAGAGTTGCTTTCGTTTCGGGCTATACCAAGGAACTGTGTCCTGCGAAAATCAAATCGCCTTCGCAGAAAGGAAGAAAAAAGGAAAGAGGAGGCAAGACATGTCTCGTAGTGCAGCAAGAAAGACTTGTCTCGTTTAGGCTTTGACAAGGCGTAAGGGCTTTAAGAGAACCGGAAGCATTTCAAAGACAGGAAGAAAGGCGCAAGGGCAAGCCAAACTTTGTGGTGCCGTTGGCCCCTCCGGACGATGAGGATATGCAGAAGGTGAGGGTGCACCCTTTGTTGTGAATTTTAGATGACATATATCATATATCATATATCAATGTCTTCGCGGTCTGTTGTGTAGATTCTACTTCTTCAGTTATTTGAAGCCTTTTGGGAGTGGCTTGTGATGACTCGGAACTTGTGCTGTTCGGAGTGAAGGTTGAGGCAACTATGGTGAATGCTGCATTTGCGAACAGTGGATATCCTTCAACGGGCAAAACACAGCCAAAACACAAACTTTTGCATGCAGAACGTTGAGTTGTTGAGTCGGTTTGGCCATGTTTCTCGGCCTTCGCAGGCGCAGCAAGTCGCATTCTTGACAGATCATGACAAGATTGAAGTGGCAGTCAGGCTGTCCTCTTAAGGTTTTGTTATTTGTCTTTAAGTTGTCTTGTTGATGGCAGGCGCTCTACTTTGCGAGCGCGACCGGCACTTCTCTAAGTTGATGATGGCTTGTTTGCAAAGGCCATGCTCAAGATACACTAAGTATCACTAAGTCTTTAAGTATGTCATCCTTTGTTGCGCTCTATGTATGCAGCCCGGTACTCCTGAAAGAAGCTTCAGTCTAGCTTAGGTGCTCAAACCAGCCGATGACAATGCAGCTGCGATCGCTGGCCTTGTGGCCAAGCGGCCACAAACTTAGTGCACATATCTTGCTGTTGGCTCCTTAGTGGATATGTGTGGGCACATGTTGCTACACCCCAGCAGCGAGGAAGAGACTGCAGCAACACTCGAGAATGGTTGCTGGCCTTACTTTTGTTAACAGAGACATTGGGACAAGACTTCATGAAAATGAACTTGGCACGTTTGCCAGCAATAGACAATTGTAGATTGTAGTGCTCAGGTACGTGCTCGTGTGAGATAGCCTGAAATCGAGGCATAGATTCTTTTGTTTCGCGAGAGCGGCGAATAAGCTTGTTGCTAGTAGTCATGTCCTTTGCTACTAGTAGCTTCTTGTTACTAGTAGCAATGGCCTCCAACCTGGTAGCGATGGCCTCCAACCTAGTAGCTTCTTGCTACCAGTAGTAATGCCAAAGACTGAGAAGGGCACTGTTTGTTCGAAGTTGCGCAGGTTGTGCTCTACACGAACACGTGCAGCTCGAGTTAGATCAAAAAGATATTTTATGCCTCATGCAGATCCTTGGCAAAAATGCTTTTTCTAGAAGGAATTGAGAGTGGACCACAAGAACCAATAAGAACCATTTTGGTTCAACCTATCACATTCTATATTGATTGCTCGCTTGTCATCGAGTCTAGTGTTTTGAAGGGATGTCAGAATCATGAAGCGTCACAACATTTTGCGCCTTGCAAAGCATTGCACTGCATGTCTCGTTTCATCGTTTGTACATGATGGCTGGGTGATGACACTGCATGGCTTCGTTTGGTCATCGGGTTTCTGTAGCTTGATGATTTCGGCTTCGTGGAGCTGTTGGCCGCGCACAAGAAGTGCAAAGCTCTTGGCGGCGGCTGAAGCCAGGCACCTTGGAATGATATGCACGGTATTTCTTGGTGTCAGATGCTCTGCTTTCCGGCAGCTGCACTTGGATGCATCCTGTACTGGCATAGTATTGCCACCTGCAGTAGCTAGCACAGGCATTATCGTAACCTCCGCTTACCGGGTGCGTATCGGTGACCGCGTGCCTGTTTGTGCCAAACCCTTCAGAGGACAGACCATTCGTACCTACCACACCAACTCGCGATCGATCCATCGTTCGCCCCTCGATAGCCCTTCCACTATGTGGGGTGCTAGAGGGTTAGTATGTACGACAACATGTCAGAATGTACAACACGTGCAAACATCAAGCACTCAAACACCGGATTAAGACACGGTGAATGGTGATGAAAGTAATGAATTAACACATCATTGAGCGAAAGCATCTAATTGGGCACATCAAGTGAATGGAGCGACTGTTTTTGACGAAGACATTCTTTAGTCTTCTGATAGAGGTTATGACTTTTGTCATAGGAGATATCACCATACGGAGGATTCGGACAGGGATGCGTGAGTAGAATGAGGGACTGCACGACTCGAACATTCAGGGGATATGACTGGTTGGGTAGTGAGGCATATGCTTGTAGATTTTGCATAAGCAAATCCGCATGCGGCAGAAATGGACGAGCAGAAATACTACCCACTAAACTTCGATGGAATCCCAGTCGAACCAAAGAGCTAGCGTTGGTCTTCTTGTATCGTGGAAAAAAAGGAACATTGCAGGGAATTCTCAAGATATCGTACTACAGAGCGCAAGACCCCTGCTTGATGCCATAGGCATTTTTTAGAGTCAGGCTGAATTTTAGCTTCAGGAGAATCGAAGGCGTATGGACGCGGTAATTTTTTGGCAGTATGGTATATCCAAATAGGAAGACAGGTGCCGGTAAAAAGGGCATGGGGACGGGGGGGGTTGAGGCAGAATAGGATTCTTTCAGTGGCACAAAAATCATTAGAAAACAAGTATAGACACAAAATACAAACAAAATGAAACAATGCAAAAACGCGCCGCTCAGAGCGCTCCTTTCTACCAAGTTATGCCAAAATCACCAGAGGCCACTGGAGCCTCATGTGGTCGCCAACGAAATGTGTTAAACATCCGCCATACCTTATAAGCCACACTCGCACCAACTGGACATCCTTGGGCAACTACTTCTTGTAAGTCGACCTCTAAGGACCAATACACAGGGCCAACATCCCACTGAGACAATGCCGATTGAACGTTGGCATAGGCGTCCAATGTATTATGCTGGTGTTCTGAGGCGGCATTCGTTTCTTTTTCGATTTTCAATTTTGAATGGAGCATATTCAAATCCGCGAGATATTGGTAAATCAACATCAGGGCATCAACTTGGTTTAATGAATGCCGAAAAACAGCCTCTGCTGCGTTTTGAAAAGGAGGGACATCGAGTTGATTAATCTTCTTTGCAACTTGATCAGCTAGATCATTTCCCAGGATCGTATACAAGTCATCAATATCAATCGCATCTTCTAGATTACGGTGTGATTCTACCTTGCGTATTTGGTAGAAAAGTGGATTCCAAAACTGTTGAAGCTGATGGATTAGATCAGCATGTGATTTTTGAAAAGTCTTGGGATCGAGCGTATTAGATGCAATCGCCTCAACAAGACGAAGAGCATAGTCGGAATCAGTGTAAATTGACATAAATTGATTGGGACGAGATTCAGTAAAATGTCGCGCCAGCCATGCAATCGCCCCTAACTCCCCCCTATTAATGGTTTGATTGCCCGCTACATGAGAACTTTGCGTGACTACGAAATCATTCACCGGCGGGTCTTGCGGGTTGGAAGTAGCATGTTGGACAACTGCCCATGCGGCACGGCAACAATTTTGGAATTTGGGGCGGTCACAGCTCCCATCTGTATAAAATACATGGTGGGACGACGGCACAATATTGGGGACATCAAGAAATGGACCTTGACGGATTTAAGGAGGTTGTAGGTTATTTGCTTAGCATGTACTGTCGCCACGGGGAACCACAAAAGGTTAGGAAAGGTTTGTAGAAGACGTACAGCCTCCGGATGGCGATCTCTGACATGCTGAAAATGAACACACTCCAGTTGGCGATGCGAATGCGTATCAGGTTGGTCACAGTGCGTACACAACGCATTCTGCGTGGAGTCCCACAATGACTTAACTGCGTTCGTCTGATATCCACCGGTGAGATTAAGTCCTATTAATTTACGAGTCTGGTCTGACAGCTTGTGATTAATTTTATGTGGACATAGGGGTCGAAAGGGGTATGTGTGACCCCTTTGCGATGTTGGATATGGTCTATACATAGAAAGCCCACGCTGACCGGAGCGCGCGACGAATCTCACTCGGTGAATGTGTACAAATACATAATTGCTGACCATCCGGGAGTTCAAGCATGGCATTAACCATAGGTTTCCATTTGACTCTATCAAAATATTTACCCAAGGCGGCACATGGACCACACTTTGTGTCCCGATAAACTACATGATGCCACATCTCAGTGGCATTGAAAAAGACGTCGAAAACTGCAGATGGCTGTACTAATGACGTATAACATAGGGTCCTCTACTTTAGGCGAAAGAATCGAAAGAGCCAACATTGAAGATGCATATTTATGTTTCCCGATTAGCACGTCAGTAGCTTGTCGGCGCAACTTTACAAAATGGGATTCACCAATAAATGGACTCTCTGCGGCATAAAATGCTAATGGCCAAATAGCCATCTGTATCTTCGAGGCCCTTTCGTCAATGGTTAGATTATGACGACCTAGACGGGTAAGTCTTCGTGTTACTGCCACCATGCGATCCTTAAGGCAACCAAGAACGCACTGCTTGGTGTATTGCATTGTGCACCCCAAATCTTTTGCTGCGTGATGGACGGAAATTTCTAAAGAAGATGCTGGGAACAAGTGACGCATATGACCCCAAAAAACACGCATGGATTTCGTGGTGCCCCACCCCCAGGACTTACGAATGTCAACCTTCATACGAAGGGCATGCGTGAAGTTAAGAGTGGTTCTGCCAAAGGGTGTAAGAAGAGAAGTGCTGCTTCTGCCAAGCAGCGCAAACGATTGGCGTGACTAACGTGGGCGGCTCACTTTGCTCCTTTCGCAGAGATCCAAATTGCGTTAAATGTGGGACCAAACGAACACTACCCCGTTTCTACCAATGCGCACTGTAGGCTCTGCACTTCAAGGATGAACGCTTTCTACGAATGCTCCCCTAAGTTACTCAGTCTCGCCCTACGGAGCGGAGCAGGAACTCTTCCCCAAGAAGGCTTTCTGAGCAGTTAACAGCTGTTATGGCATGCTGCAGTTTTTGGGAATGCAAGATACCCTTGCAAGAGCACTGTTTGCTCCTTTGCAGAGAGGCCCCAATGGCTTTTCAGCAGATAGGTGAGCAGCACTGAACTGAGATTGGGCCTGGATAAGTCGTTCAAAATTGTTCAGGTCGTTTGCTGTACATAAACTGTGGCCTGTGTGCACCATCCTGCTGATGGTTTAGGTGGACAGAGTACATGGACATTTCAAAAAAACGAAAGTTGGATGAAGCATTTGCTTTGTCATGTGTTTTGAGAGATATTTGCGGAGCTTCTTTGTCTTGAGGTTTTGTCAGCACTACTATCAGACCTTCGACACGAATAGGCCATGCAAGTTATGAGCAGAACCCTCCAGAGACTGCCCTCAGTTGTTCCGTTCATGTTCATGTTCGCTAGAAGACTTGTTTTCGGAGCACATCGGGCGCAGCCTCGGGGTTTGATATGGCTTCTTCCGATTGTGATGCGATTTTTCTAGGTCCTCTCACAGAGAACACAAATCTTGAGAGAAGGAGTTTAAATCATTAGGGCTTCATGTGTTCTGTTTTCGACTTTGTCTGCAGGATGTTCTTTGTTGCTATCCATGGTGGGCATATCAAAGTAGCTGCGCATCAAAGCACCTCCAGCTCCAGCCAATCACGTAGATGTCTTGGCCATGGCGATTGGGGCATAAGACATGTCGGAGACCGCTCTGCGCAGCCTGCAATGCCGTGCGTGTCTTGAGATGCGGGCCTCCCTGTTCTCTCCAAATAAGCCAAATTTGGTTTGCACCAGGGAATTGCTGATGGAGCCCCTTTTGTGCAGCATGCCAAGAACACACAGCAGTCACCTTGAGCCATAGTGGTTCATTCTTTTAAAGCTTTCTTTGCTTGTGCAAATAGTTCCATGCGCTGCCAGGTCTCGTGAGGCGTTTTGGCCTCTGGTCGCAGCTGTCGGCTTTGCATTTGGCTTCATCCTGGGAAGGTCAACAAGGTGCAGTTGATGGCGAACAGAAAATTGAGGAAAGAAAAGAAGGCAAGTGCCCCTTTGATAATAGTCTTTCAAAGGGGTCTTTACTAAAGGGGACGTTATTCGTTATTAGCTTGGCCGTGACCTTCTGTTTTTCTTAGTTTTCTGTTTTGGACATCTTCAAGAGTCTCTTTGTAAGCAAGCCCACTATTCGATGTGGACACTGTCAGGCATGAATTGCCCTTTCAGCCAGAAGGATGGGTTGAGCACAAAGATTTGGAGCATTTGCTACTACTACAGATTCTGCAGCTGAGCCAGGATTTCCTGAGAACTTGCCAAAGGCAAAAGATGTTGTGAGAGTGCGAGGCCTGGAAAGGGTGGCAAGCAGTGTGAACATTTGACGTTGCCTTTTTTCAAGAGGCGCACTAAGAAAAGCAAACGAGAGCTTCGACGCAGACAAAAGAGTTGGGGCGACGAGTCTGGAATAGGCACCAACAGTCCACCAGATTGAGCAAAGGATATCCACAACAGACCTTCCTGTTCTACAGCTTCAGCAGTCACTCTGCTTAGTTGCTTGGTCACGGAATGCAGTATATGTTCATCCATGTTCCAGGAGCAAAGATCCAACCTCCCCGACGTGAAGTGATTTGTGATGATGCGCTGCGGTGGATCGAAAAGACCAAAAGCTTCCCGTTAGGATCCATGGTCTTTACCTCTTTGCCGGATATGTCTGAAGTGGTTGAGATGGCTCCCCGCTTTGAAGATTGGGAGAACTTCTTCATGAAGGCCAGAAACCTCTTTGAACATTAGGCTCTTATCAATGTGAGTTGTGTGCCCCATGGCAAGGTTTCCAAGGTGCCTTTCCAAGACCGTATTTATGTTCTTTTGTTCTTTTGCTTTCCACCTTTCCGCCCGAAAGCACCATGAATAATATAGTTCTTGTTTCCAAAGCATAATATACTGAGAACCTATAGCGCTGTAATTTTCGCACTTTGGCACCTTCAGAGGCCCCCAAACCTTGCACAAACAACATTTTCACATCAGTGTTTATGAAGACACCACTAAAGAGACACTGATATGATTGATATGTGTGATGGTATTTGCAACCCTGCAACGCATAACTAATGCAATCCGCCGACCCCTCCGGTGGTGCGGAAGCATGCCACGAATGGATTTTAAAACGTTCCAACGAGCGTCCAAACAGATAGGCTTTTCTGTAGTGACTATAGGGTTCCTGAAGCCTTAGACATTGCCTGCGCAGGGCTTGGGGCGGGTTTTAGGTGCTGTTTTTTTGAGCAGGCTCCTTGAGTCGATGGGTGGGCCCAAAGGAATCCAAAGGGATCACATGTGCCCATTTTGCAGTGTTCTTGTGTTTTGCGATAACGCATGCAAAATGCAACACGAACCAAGTTGTGGTGGATTTGAAGGACTTTAATGTTTGGAGAAACCTGTGCAAGGCAGTCCGAAGCATTCTGATGGCCTTGCCTGAGGGTGGCGTGGCAACTTTCTATCAAACAGATGTGCGCTTGCCTGGTGTGGGCCAAGTGAGCAAGGCCTTTTTGGTCTTGCAGGCAGCTCAGGTGCCTGGCATAAGGCTGAAATGGCACAAGATTGTTCACTTCGGCACGGTGGATCAGCCGACCTGGAATTCAGTACCCTGATTTGCAAGAAGACATTTATGCTGGGGCCTAGCAAAGTTTTATAGCGAGCAAATCTGTTCTCCTCAAATGGCACAAGGGTCAACGGCTTAATCCCTGGAAACTTCTCCTTTTGCTGGTGCCTTGAAGCATGCCCAGGTTCAATTCACTCATTTGCTTTGCTTCGGCAAAGGAGCAGCCAGCGTCCAACGCGTGGGAGTTGTGGGTGAGGATGACCCAGTGGTAGATCTAGGCCGCTGCGCCTCAAACCGAAGATTTGTTCTGATCAGGCTCCTTTCACACAATCGTCCAGTGCACTCATTTGCTACAGGTAGCACCATCCCGGACGTCGTTGAGAGAGGAGTCAAGCCAACCGGTCTTCGCAAAGGAGCTTGCTGTGCTCCTGCCATATTTGAGAAACCACAATTTTTGAAATGTCATTAGGTTCGAGGCCATCGCTAGTAGGTTGGAGGCCATCGCTATTGGGTTTTCTACGTCCAAATTGAGCTTTGCACCTGTTGCTTTGAGACGCTCAACTTTTCGTTGCCAGGCATGGGCATCAATGCCACTTCAGCAGTGATGAAATGGGCTGTGCGACGACTGCCAGGACACTTGAATCACTTGAAGGTAAATAGGAAAACTGATGGTAGTGGAGGTCCAAATAATTGGAAGGCCGCTCGATGATGCTTATGCTTTTCCACCTTGTACACAGATTGGCTTTGTCAACTGTTTTTGCCGTGCTGCCGGAACGTCGAGACAAGTGAGGACTCCACACTGTGATTGATCCATTTTGCGGAGCTGGCACAGTTCTCGCAGTTGCCAATGAGCACCTGAGCCTGGAAACTCGCAACAACAAATACATCAATATCATGACCTTCGTCAAATGCATATAGATTACGCCCTTTCACCAATCCTGCACACTTCGATAGAGTTTCATTCAGTAAGAGAATCCACGAGGAAAAGAATGCTGGAACGGCAAGGCTGCTGAGTCAGCGGAATTGGAGATGTTTCAGCAATGGTTGCAAAAAAGTTCAAACGCGGCTGCAAGGCGGCTGCAATCAGCTAGAAAAGGGTTTGGGAGATATCTTGAACAACAACTATGAAAACAACGAACAGCGCAGGAAGGGTTGTGTCTTGACATCTGCAGGGACACAGGGCTGATCAGGCCCTGCTTCCCACTCTCGTCCAAGCAGGGTGGGACACACACTTGAGATTATGCGTACTGATGTGAATGCCACTCGCCACACGGCAACCTAAGGGACCAGAATCCCGAAAAAGCGGGTAAAGGGGCCTGAGCACCTGTAGTTAAAGGCCAAAGTTCCAACTCCACGAGACGACGAACAGGTCGAAGTGACGGCGGCCGCTCTTGTCTGCAGAGTGCACTAGCCCTTTATGAAAAAGACAACACCACAAACATCGCAGGTACGTCTGAGTGATCAGCTCCGATATCCCCCCAACTCATGAGCAGCTTCGTTGGCAGTAGACTCATGAGTGGGCTACTGCCCCCTGCTTAAAAGTGAAAACAAAGCACTCCGAAAGGAAGCTTGTGACTCCAAAGGTTACACACACACACACGCCTCCCCGAGGGGAGGCAGAAAGAATTAAGGCGAGGACGGTTGTGGAAGTGTGCGCGCAACAAAGACAAAAGGATGAAGACATGAGAAGGAGGACGAGACAGGACAAAGGTGTGTGCGGTGGCAATGAAAAAGAAACCAAGTGCACAGGGACAACCGATGAAACCCACCTCATTGTCAAGACCTGGGCGACCTGAAACCTATGTTTGAAGTGTAGGTAGAAGTGCACGTACACACTAAGGCCAGGACCGTTGCACACGCAAACGAAGGAAAGGATGAGATGACAAAACATGAAGACAGGAGGACATGAAAGAAAAGAGGAAAACAAATGTGTGCGAAAGGGAAGGGATGAAAAGGGAAACCAAATGGAGGGGACGAAAACCAATGAACCCGAACCTCATTAGAAAACCTAGGCGAACCTCGTTGAAAATGTACGTGCTGTGTGTGCACCTGAGGTGGCGACAGGTTCCAATGAACCTTGAACAAGCTTTGGTCGCTGCGACCACATGGTGGCGTGCCCGAAGGCTGCCTACTGCTGACCGCTGCGGTCATCTCATGGCGTGCCCGAAGGCTGCCTACTCAAATTCAATAATTCGGCAAATCTTGGCGCATGATTTTGGCCTAAGTCTACTTTGCTCGCTGCGAGCTGCTTTGTACCCGGGCAGGGGATACGTTCGACAAACCCCCATTCGACGGGTCCACGGGGGCCACCCTCCGGGGTCACCCTGGGCTGGCATGAAGCCAGACACACTTGAGATTATTATGCGTACTGATGTGAATGCCACTCGCCACACGGCAACCTAAGGGACCAGAATCCTGAAAAAGCAGGTAAAGGGGCGTGGAGTTGGAACTTTGGCCTTTAACTACAGGTACTCACGACGGCCGCTCTTGTCTGCAGAATGCACTAGCCCTTTATGAAAAAAGAGTCACAGCTTGAGAACACCACAAACATCGCAGGTACGTCGGAGTGATCAGCTCCGATATCCTCCCAACTCACTCATGAGTGGGCTACTGCGCCCTGCTTAAAAGTGAAAACAAAACACACTCCGAACACCCCCAAAAAAAGTCGCTTGGCGGCGCACGGAAAACGTATGTCTCGTGAAAACTTCGTGAACTGTCTGAAATGGTAAGGAATGTGGTCAGCAGTTCTGACAGTTGAAAAGTCAAACATGCAAAGTGGAAGACATTGAACGTCCAGTGGTCAATCCGTGAATCATTCAATCATGCAGGGAGAAAATCCGTAGGCCCGGCGGCTTAGATTTCAGTTTTTCCTTGAAAGCCGACTGAGCGGTTAACGGCAGCCCAGTGCAAACTGCGGAGCTGATAATGAAAATCCACGGTGGTTTCAGCGCCCCTTGCGGGGGTTACACTACGCGCCCGAATGGGAAAACGTAGCAGTACACACTTCGATAGAGTTTCAATCAGTAAGAGAATCCATGAGGGGAAAGAATGCTGGAACGGCAAAGCTGCTGAGTCAGCGGAATTGGAGATGTTTCAACAATGGTTGCAACT